TACAATAACTGTGATTTTTATTCTACATAAGTTAGAAAATGAAATAGGAAATAAAAGTCTAAGATCCTGGTTTTTGTATATACAAATACATACATTAATATATTATATACTACATCACTATATGCAATATATATAAATTGTACCTTAATTTCTATTTTATATTAGGACGAAAGTTTTTAACACGAGCAGACGAAATAATTTTTCGTACATTTTATGTAAAAAAAAAGATGAAAAAAAAGTTTCCTTTTTTTTATGTGAAAATGTAAGAAAATTGTCTACGAATCTATTTTGACTTCCGTTCCTGCTCTTTAAATACATTATTATATATGTATATAAGGCAAGCATACAGAAAAAAAAACAAAACCTACATTATCATTATAATAATTCTTTTAAATGTTCTACAAGGACCAAATATGAAATAAAAATAAATTTTTTAGCTTTTCATTTTATTTTCTTGCCATTATTGTTTCTTGTTTCTTTTCTTCTTCTCTAAATTGTTTCTTATTCATAAAGAAATATTTCAATATGTAAATATCAATATGTATTTACTATTACAAGGATATCATAATCAAACTGAGAAATGAAATAGTGCTATTTTAAAGCAGAAATTTTTCCTATTTTAAAATTTTGAAATCAACAAAATAAAATTAAAATATTAATATTGAAATTCTAGTTTTAGCAAGAATGTATACAAATTAATCGCTTTGAATTATCGAAATTTAAGTGCTAATCACCCTATTTGAATTTATCTGAAAAATATTAAAAATTATTACAACCATACTCAAAATTACATTTAATTTGCATAAGTAGATCGATTCTAAATTGATTTTTGAGAAACTGTGCAGTTAATTGAAATTTTTTACACCATTTCTGTTTCAACAACCTTTAAATTTCCATTTGATAAAAGAATTTGCATTTAAAAAATGACAAATATACAAATACTTTTGAAAACTTTATATGACATTTTTGTTTCAATATACATATTAAGTTTTGTTATTATATGAGAATTTTGAATAACTTTCAATGCTAATTTTCTAAAACCATATTAATAATCAGAATATATAAGCTGGTATTTGATTATCCACAAAAAAATGAACACGAGCGGCAAGATACTATAATTATAATATAACAATTATATAGGTAATATATTCCCATAGAATAAGTAGAAACAGAAAGAGAAATAAATTCTTCAACTTCCTTAAATTAGTATTGCACATAATAGTGTACAAAGTCCCAAAAGTAAAACACAAAAAAGAACATATAAACAGAAACCTTAAAAATTTTGAATGAAAACGGATGAAGTCAAGAATGATAAAAATAAAAATCAACAAAAGGAAAAAAATCCTAAAAATAAAAATTCTAAAATGGTTTACAATATTAGGTAAGACCGGAAGTGCTATAAAGCCAAAGAGCACGCAAAATTCATTTGAACCAATTTTCCTTTCGCTTTTTATTTTCTTTTTTCTTTATGGTTTTATATAATGAAATTGCGACGTTTAACAAAATCTCATTTTTATATCACATGCAGAATAAACATTTTTACATTTCTAAAGTTAACCATATTTTGTATCCTTATACTGAAATATACGAGTATCCGTTTAAATAAGTATATTGGTTTAATTTGATTTTGCTCGTGAATGTACATATATAACTATAAAGAGATTACGCAAAACGCGCTACAAGGAAAGTGAAATTCTGGTCGCCTTATAATATATTATGTAGGTACTTAAATGTTCCTAAATTGATATGAAAAATTGTCTAAAAAAGAAAAGAATAATAAATCTTTGTACCACACATAATGTAGACGCATGTTTTATAAGGTTATTTTTAAATTAAATGTCAATGTGTCGCAAGTTGATTTACGTCTAGAATATCTTAATATACCAACATTATTAAATTGTGTTTAGAACTAGGAATTGTGAAAGCATTATAAATATCTTGATTTAATTTCAAACTATATAGCTACCCAAATATTCGCTTATAATAATTTTTATTGCATCAAATTTATGCTTTCTTTTTCATTAATTTTAAATTGTGTTCTGGTTTAAGTGAAAATATATGGTAAGTATTTATGAATACTATTGTGTGAACATCCCGACTCCAAAAATTTCTTATAATTTTGAAAATTTTGAAAATTTGAATTTAGTCCCTATAAGTATGCAATACTGTTAGTAGGTATTATTATACATTACTTTCTAAGTTAAAGTAAATATAATTAAAAAGAAAATTAATTTCTGTATTAAAGCTCTTATAAAATTCAATTTAAATTTCAAAATAATCACTAAATATTATGAAAATTTACTACTAATGATTTATTTTAGATAATTTTGATTATTTTCTTTACAGATTTATTTACTTTTATATAATTACTTCTTAAACAGAATAACTTCAAACTGATTTAAAATTTTAGAATAATGAAATCAGTGTAAATTTAATCACCTATAAACTTTAATGTTTTCAAATTAAAGCCTTATATGTTTAGAAATTTTCTGCTAAAATATAATTTTTGTTAAAAAATCTAATAAATTCCAATTATTACTGTTAATACTATACAGCAATTATTTTCAAAGTTTTATAAAATTTTATTTTATTTTAAAGTTCAATAATTATTGCTTGAATTTTGGAAAATTTGACATTAATTTTAATTCTATATTATTAATGAACAAGGATCATCATTCACCCTGTATACAAGAATAAATGATGTTTTTGAACAAAAAATTTTTTATATTGTATATTATGTATACAGTTAATATACACTATTTATATAGGTATATTATGCATAAATGCGAAAACTATGCTACCATATAATAATTTATTTATCATAAATCCCCTTAAGGATATTCAGAAAAAGGAATAAAACTATGTACATGTTTTGATCCTTTTTGATTCTTTTCCTCCTTTTTTGAATGAAAAATTATTTGTTTTTCTTTCTCTGGTTTTTCCTTCATGTTATATTCGTAAATTTTCTAAAACACTGCTATACACAATATATTATATATATATATATATATATATATCACGATTTGATTTAAATGTTGTAATTCTGATTTTATTTTTTTTTTTCTAAAAAAATTTTTTTAGTAGTTGAAATTCATTTAAATTTTATTTTTCTCAGGATACTAACCTATATTGTTTTATATCTTAAAATTCGCGATCATATAATATAAGATATAAATAAAAAAAAAATGAGGATTTTTCATATTTTTTCCTTCAAATAAAGTTTTTCCAACAAAACAACCAACCAACCAGCGAACCATTCAAGTCATACTTTTATATGTAAGTATATCACAAACATACATATATACTATTCAGTGATTTTTGTTTAACTAAAATCCTTTTATAATTTTATATAATATTATATAAGTACATGTTAGGTACACAAATATATCAACTGCTTTAAATTTTATTTTGAAATGGAGAAAAATATAAAAATTCAGAAATAATGATTTAAATTATTTCTAAAATTGGCAACAAATTGTTTTATAACCTCGAGCTTTAGATCTATATTTTTTAGTATAGGGAATTACAGCTATATATAAAGGTTTACAAGAGAGGTAAATGAGATATATACGGATAAAATTGCGCGAATATTGCAATAAGCTGGAAAATATTTATTTCTCTTTTTTTTTCGTTTTTAACTTGTGTTTTGATTTTTTATTTTCTCTTATTTTTCCTTTTTTCATGTTTTATTATTTAAAATAATTTTAAATTGCAATAAGCAATGGGAAAATTTTTTTTTTTGTTTTTTGGATTTTAAGTGAATTTCAAGAGAAAACTGAACAAAAAACATCGAGAGAGTATGATTGTGAAGACAGAGTGAGTGATAGAGAGAGGTAAATGGGTACTTAAAATGGAATATTATTAAGGTAAAGTAAATAAATTTTATTTTATTGTAATAGGGAGATTAAGTTGCTGGATTATATGTAGATATACATACATAAATTTTTTCTTGTAAATAAAAAGTAATTTATTAGAAGAAATAAAAATGTTCTTAAACAAAAGAACATTAAACCATATTTTGTTATTTTGTTGAATTATATAAAAAAAAGCAACAACAAAAAAATGTACAAATGTTTTAGAGAATAAAAGAAAAACAATGGATTTGCAAAAAAATTCAAATGAATAATTACGTTTCTCAAAATTAGAATTTATTTTCTTTTAACGTATAATAATTTTTAAAGGTAATTTGTTTAAATGTATATAATACGAAATAGTCCTCTAGATTATAAACACATACATTCAAGGTGAGCATATTTTTAATATAAAAAGATAATGCAATACAGAAAAGACCTTTATGATTTTCAGTTTGCATGAATTATATGCCGAAAAGTTCATTTCATTGTTACCGACTGCTTGTCTCTCAATTGTTCCGCTGTTTTTCGGAACAAAACTGATTTGAATTTCAAAAATCTCATAATTATTATATCGATATTCCTAACACATCTGAATAAATATTATATTCAGACTTAGGAGCAGTGTATTTGGGTGTTTTTTCTTTAAATCAAAAAAATCATTTCTAAAACGCACCATCTTTCATCTTCCAAAAATATACCCTATATATAAATTCATTTGCGGGGGGGGGGGGGGGTTGATTTTCCGGATATGTCTATAACTGAGCTTTCCAAATTTGCAATTTTGCTCATACGTTTTACGAAAACTACAAAAAAATATTAGCTTTATTTTAATTGAATAATGATTTGTATTGGATTAATAATTTGACACTCTTGCTTTATAGTATTAACAGTAATAATTGTAATCTCTATTTGGACAATAATTTTGGTCCTATAATTTTGGGTATGGAAATTTTAATTTGCAACATTTTGAGAGTAAATATATCGAGTGGAAAATTTTTCTTCAATATCGGGTAAAAAATTCGGTTTGCAAATGACAAAATTAGAAAAGAATGATTTGTTTATTGTTACTCGTAGTTGCTGAGTTTATGTTGTGAATTTTTTTCGGATTATAATAAAATTTTATTCAAAAAATGCAAATTACTGTACCTCGATAAATGTTTGATATCATCGTTTATGACAACAATTTTCTTGCAAAATGGTGTATTACCTGAAATAAAAAAAAAAATTATTAGTTTTCTAATAGGTATTAAATAACGAAATAAAGTTAGAAGTGGTTTGTTTAATTTATTATTAAATTTCGAAGTTCCAGAAATATAACAGAAATCGTCATTTCCAATTTCCAATTTATCGAATTTTTGTTTTAAAATCATATGAATATTAAAAAATTTTAATTTTCCAGTAAAAGTTTTATAGAGCTTTGCTTGAATCCTTAAATTTTCAATCATAGATCATCAAAAATTTTGATCTAAATTTCTTGAAATTGATTCATTTCAGAAAAATCATTTTAAATCATCAATATTCAGCTTGTAACAATTGTAGCAAGCTAAATTGTCTAGTTACCTACAATTGAGGGCATAACCAAAATATTGACAAAAGAGCAGAATACCCAAAATTGTGTTTGATAACTACTAAACTTGAGTAAGACATTTTGTTAAACAATCAAATCACTTATTGTCTATAAAAAAAAAAAATCAAAACTCACCATTTAAATTTCTGTCTAAAATAAAATTAAAAACAAAAAAAAAATAAATATAAAAAATAAAACTTAAAATGCCGTCAGGCTATCGCAATTAATCAATTCAAAAGTTATTTAGAAAATTTCAGACATCACGTAATCAAAGAAAATGAAAACTCTTTAATCAAAAATCATTTTCGTACACAAAATTTTATATTGCGTGCTAGTAAAATCTGTTGCTCAATTTACACTATAAAAATATTATGAAATTTTAAGAAGATGCTAAATCATTAATATCTACTCTATTTTATGGTTTTCATTTATTTATAATGCTTTTTGATGAAGAAGTAATGAATTTTTGTTAATCAGAGGCCGACAGGCAAGCATTACTAAATTTCAAAGCGTGTAGTCAGTAGCTAAATAATTTTAATTCAAAATGAAAATAAGTGTAATTCGGTTAGTGAGTGAAGTGACTAACCAGTTTAATTTATTGCTTTCTACTATAAGGGTTTTGCTATGGTATCGGGAGATAAATTGACCAAAAATGATTTCAAATTTATTAATATTTTACCTAGACAGTAAAGATCGGAATTCCAGATTTATTTAAAGTAATCAACATCCCTTTTAATATTCCCTTTTAATATTCAAAGTTATTCAAAATTAAAATACGTGCACTAATTTATGCAAGAATTTCTTAAAATAAAATTAAACACCCAATTTTTAATTCCAACTTAAAACTTAAACTTAAAACCCAAGTGATAATATTAATATTTTTTCATTTTCATCCTTCATACTAAGTAATTAACTACAAAACTATAATTATAATTCGCATAAATGAATAAAACTTAAAATAATTTTTATAAAAAATTTAATTGACTTTCATGAACGTAACTCTATTTATAAAGGTTATTCTCCAGTACTATTGTATAACAATATTAAATTCTATATATACATATATTTAGTTAACCTAATCTTTTTAACCCTATTTTGTTAATTAGAAATTCGCTGTTCATTTAAAATAAAAATTATTGCGCAGTAAAATTCTTTTTAATAAAATTGAATTAAAATTAATGAAATTTCATTTTTACAAACAATAAACAAAACTGACATTAATTAACAATAAGAAGCGAAAAAATAAATAACAAATCTTAGTTTAAGTAATTTATTTTTTGTTTTTTCTTTAAAAGCAAGCAAAGTGTACTTAGATTTTTTAAATAATAATGAAAATTTTCTATCGTAATTCCAAATAGCAGTAGATGATAATAAATGAAAGGTGTTAAAAAATATTATGAAATGTTTGTAATTTTAGACTTTTAGAGTAACAATATAAATTGAAGATTAATTTTATAAACAGAATCAAAGTGGTAAACGGTAACGGCGGACAATTGGCGTTGCAAACCAAGAACGATAGCGGAACGACAAAATTAATTGTTCAGTACATATTTTGTAATTCGGCTGTTTTACCGCCAGCGGTTAAATTCGCACAATAATGTTGCTTGATTTTGAGCAGTCCTTTTCTAAATATATAAATCCTGTATGAATTTTGACATTTCACGGCAGAAAATCGCTCTTGTTTCAACTTAACAGAATATATCAAAATGGCATAATAACTTGCTATGAAAATATAACAAATACACAAAATAATGTTATTTTCTTTTATTAATTTTACATATTAACAAATCAATTTAACATGATTCAATCGACGTTTAATTAAATTTCCGTAAAACAGAACGTATTTGTATAAGGATTTTCCGCTTATATCGTCATAGAACTGTCAACTTTCTTCAAAATAACTTGAAAAAATCAAAATTGCTTCATCGAAGAGTGAAAAATGTGAATGTAGAAATATTTTTATTTTTTGCTGTTGCCGTGTATAAGTTCAAAATAGCGATTTATTGTCACTTAATATTACAAAAATAATTCACATTGAACTTCTATTGAGACTTTTTCGGAAGAACTGATAATCAAATCGTAAAAACTCAATGGTTTCCAAAAATTTTATGAAATTCTTTATGACCTTGATTGAATAATATTGTATTTTCTACTTTATTTGTAGTACCTCAATTTATGACTGCAATTTGTATTTCTTCACCACTCATACATAAATCGTAAACGACATCTAAATCTTTTGATGTTACTAAACAGTATCAGAAATGAATTTATAATTTGTTTTAGTCACTTTGTTATTTTATTTTTAAAAATCTACAATCGGCAAGTCATGAATTTAATTTCAATTAAATTGTAAGGTGCGGTTTATATAAAAGTTTTTTTTTTAGTTCCTCTGATGCATTTAAATATATGATCAAATCCCCAATTACAATCATAACTCTACTAAAAGATCTTTTCTCAAAAAAATTGGAGATTGATAGTAAGACAAATGAGATGACAGCATCTAAATCAAAAAAAAATTTATTTTTATTTTGTTGAAAAGAAGCGCACCTAAAGTTTTCCTTTTTTTACTTTTCATATTTTTTAACAAAATTGCTAAATATAAAGTAAGCTTTGAATAATGATTAGAATCACATCATGCCATAGCATTTTACGTGTACCATAGCTTTGTTTTCTTTTTTGTATTCGTATACATCATCTAATTGATTATGCAATTCTCATCTTGATTCAAATAAAAAAAATTTTTTTTAGAAAATATGCTAATTAGATTTTCTAAATTCATTCATTTTCTTATTTCTTGTTTGTTTATAATTCTACGTCTCTAAATATATACTATCATACAATAATACAAACTTATTCACCAACATAAGTTGTTGCCAGTGTACAGTGTTTATGAAATGAATGTAGAAGAATTGCAAATAGTTATTTTGTTGTTGTTATTCTTTGTTGCAAAAAAATGTTGATATTAAAATTGTTTCTATGTATTTAGCAATTGTAATTATTTTGTGCAGAAAGAAGAAGAAAAATTTTACAAGTAAAAATAATAATTAAAAGTGTAATTAAGTTTTGGGCATGGAATTTTAAAAAGATTATGATTTTCTTAACAACAAAAACAACAATAATGAAATTAGTAGATTTTGTACTTGGGAATTTGAATTAGACCAATTATTATGAAAATATAATCTTAAATTTTGTTTTAAAATCCTACTTAACAAAATTGAAATGTAAAATTAGAAATTTGATTGCAAATGTAATCAGAACCATATTGTCTATATTAAATATTTGATTTTGTGGTGGAATAATATTTTTGCACGTACCATAGGAATACAGAATCATTCTTTTTCAAATTTGAAAACTTGCGGCAATATTGCGTTCAAAAAATACATTTTATAAGTCAATGTCCTTTAATTATGTAACACAAAATTATTAAATCAGTGAATCTGCTATAATATTGCTATAGCAAGTCGATAAGCAGAATTTCACTAACATTTTGTTGATTTACCATTGCTTTTTTCCACAAAGTTTTAACTAATATTTCTTAGTTACAATATCTAATATATTAGTTGGTTGAAAAACACCCAAAAACTGCGATACACGTGAACTTGAGCTAATTTAAACTAATCTTTTCGTTCAGTGATGAAGATGCTAAGATTTTTATAAAATAAAATATTTATACTGCCTAAACCATAAAAATAAACCTAGATACTAAATAAGTCATTTTAAAAAAATATATAATTCACAAGTAAAAGAACAATTTTTATTAAAAATTCTCACTATTTCAAGAACATTTAAGTGATGTTGCATAACGAAAACTAACAACAAACCCATATGTATTCTAAAAGTCGGCTTCAAACAAACGCACACAAAAATTCTAATTATGTTGCCAAATGATGATAAGAAGCAGAACACATCCATATAAATAGAAAGACTAATGATGAACTTAATAGTCCGATCAGTACAGCAATAAAATTAATCTTTAAATTCGTTTTACTTAAAATGAAAATTTTCAAAAGTGTTAAGAAAGAGCAATCAGATTTTAATAATTGTAATATTTTGGTAGTACTTAAAATTCATATAGAAACTTATGTTATGTACAATTAAAGAAACTATTATGAAAATGTACTATTGGAGAAGCCTATGAATACGGCTACCTTTTGAATGTATTAGCATATTAAGTAAAACGAAATTTAACTAGGCTGGGACAATTTGAATTTCTTTTTATTAAGAAATTGTTCTCTTAACATTATTTACTTAATTAGCTTAAAAAATTCTGCAAAATTCGGGATTATTTTAGAAAAATATTTAAAATAAAAATTACTTTTTAAATGAAAACTTACAAAATTTTTAAATTTATCTGCATACTCGTATTATATAAAAATTACACCATTAAAAAATACCACAATTGCATTTTTTTATAATTATATAGAATTCCAATCCTGCAAATTCACGCGTGTGTATAATTAAATTACTATTTTGTATAAAGTATAATTAAAAAATATTGTATAACAAAAAAAAAATTATTAGAGTAAATTATTTGCAACATTTTGTAATTATGCATTATTTATACGTAATATATGTGTAAATAATTGTTTAAAAATGTGCATTTTAATTTATATATGTGATACAAAAATAATAGATGGTTTGAAGGCGGTATTTTA